AAAAAAAAAAAAAAAAAAACCTGGCTCTGGGATCTTTTGCAAGTCATTTCACCTCTCTGAACTTCAGAGCCCTCACTTGTAAACGGGCTTACTAAGAACACCCACCATCCAGTCCTTGTGGAGATGTTGGGTTGAGTCGGTTGAGTTCGTATCTCCGAAGTCGGAGCTGCAGACTCCTGCAAGTCACACGAAGGCCACAGGCTCCGTGAGGACTGGTGAGCTCATCAAATGGGGCAGCGGCTGCTCAGCTCCAGCCAGATAGTATGGACCTAGAACGTGGGCTCCATGTTGTCTGGCCTTTGGATTCTTTCCTAAAGGAAGTTGAGCTTTGGTGGGAAATCTCCTAATTTTCAAACACTGACACATAACTTGGAATTTCAGAAAATTCTGTATTGGCAACTCTATACTAGCTGAACAAAGCATGCCTGTGGGCTGGATTGGGGCCCTTACACTGCAAATTTATGACCTGTTTGACACAGCTTAATGTACATGTGACCTATCATGGAAACTTAGGTAGGAGAGAGAGCAGGCAGAAGGCAGAATTCACTTGGGTGTCTAGGTGAATTCTTGGAGGACAGAAAAGTGTCTCTGCCTGCTGTAATTCATGTCATCTGCAGAGAAGCCACAACTTGGCCAAGTTTGCCGTCCTCAATCCAGTAGTTATGGTGCCCTACCATCCCCCAGGATGGTGCCCATCCTCCCCCAGACTCAGTGGCTTTACTCTTTGCCTTTGGAGCTATCCAGTTTTGCCAGTTTTCGTAGCTGTGTTATCTTGCTCAAGTTTTTTTGTCTTTTGTTTCTTAAATCTCTAAACCTGTTTCTTGTCTATCAAACATATATTACCATCTTGGGAGATTAAATAAGAATGAACATAAATCACCTTGCCTCATGCCCAGCATACAGTGAACACTCAAGAAGTTGGGTTCTGGGGCATCTGGGTGGCTCGGTCGGTTAAGCCTCCGACCCTTGATTTCAGCTCAGGTCATGATCTCGCAGTTCATGGGATCGAGCCCCACATATGTCTCTGTGCTGATAGTGCTGAGCCTGCTTAGGAATCTCTCTTCCCCTCTCTCTGACCCTCCCCCTGCTCTCTTTCCCTCTCTCAAGATAAATAAATAAACTTAAAAAAAAGTTGGGTTCTTTTCCCCCTGAAGGGAAGCCCTGGAGTCAGGAAGCTGGGTCCACTATTGTCTCTAAATTGTCCCCAACTTCTGCCTAAGGCCAGAGACCTCTCAGGATCTGTTCCTTCCTTGTGCCACTAGAGGGCAGCATAAAATTGCAAATCCAGCCCTTTGCCTCTCTTTTGGGGAGGAAATGGAATGGTCTGAGGACAGGCAAAAGCAAATCGTAGGGCTGCTAATTGAGGTGCACCTTAGGGCAGGCCTGGAAACGAAAGTATGGTGTGGGTACAGGCCCCACATCATGCAGAAGTCCGTAGGACAGTTGGGTGCAGGCCAGGAAGGCCAACTTCCAGGAAGGCAGCACGAAAGGGTAAGAAGCCGCTCAGAGGGTTCCAGCTGGGCTTTGGACACACAAATCACTGGGCCTTGATTTCCTTGTGCTTGAATGAGGGGCTCGAACCAGCTAATCCTTGAGGTCCTTTTCTGGGAAACTGGGCTGTTCTGTGAAGTCGCAGACGAAGGGGAGCCAGGAAGATGATAAACCTGAAGAAAAAGCAAAGTGACCAGTGCTTAGGGGAGGCCAGGAGAGGCCAGGCAGCCTGAAGGACAGGGGCAGGGCGTCCTTGTGCTCCAGGTGGGTTTTCAGAGAGGCAGGTGTTCTTCTTCAAACACTGCAGCCACTCTGACACCCAGCACGAGAAGGTTCCTGCCTCTTCTTAGCTATGGGACCTTGGGGAGGGCCACTGAAGGCTTCAGGACCATTTCTTGACCTGTAAAAAGGGGACAAGTGCTATTATGATAGTTAGACAAGATTACAGGGCAGTCTTGCAGCAGTCAGGAGACACCTCATGTATACCTAGAATTTTCTTCTTCCCATTGGAATGAAGGATGTGTGTGTTGGGGGGTCTCAGAGCCTGAAAGGATGCTGTGTTGAGGTGTTTTTATTCCCATGCGTCCTTAAACTCATCCTTCAGAGACAGCAAGATGCACCACTTTGTCTTGCTCCCTCCTCCAGGGAATCCTCTTTTTCTCTTTGCTGGAGGGACACCCCTAAACTGGGACCCCAGCGGGTCACTGAGGGACAAGTGTCGGGAGGCATTGGCAGCGGAAGAAATGGTAGGCATTTGCAAATGTACTGGTGGGAAACAGGGTCGAGCCCCCATCTGACGGCTCAGAGCCCCCTCCCAGCTAGCCAGGGAGCCCAGGGCCACCTTCCTCCCCAAGACGAGAGCTGACCCTCCCCTGGCCCTTGTCCCCAGCAGCCCCCTGCGCCGCAGCTGCTGTCTCTTTAAGGGCCTCCCCCTCCCTCTTTCTCTGCTCCCCCCATCTCTGTCGCAGCCGCTGCTGTGGCTCAGAGCTGCATGGGAGACGCGCTGCAGGTCCGGTTTCTTGGTGTCTGGTCGGTGCCATCATTCCCCACCCCTCCCCCGCCCTCCCCAAGCTGGTGACTCCCCCTCCCCCTCCCCCTCCCCTCCGAGGGGGCAGGGGGCTGGGCACGAACTCTCTATAATGCCCCGTGCAGCCTCCGGGGCCGGGCAGCGGGGACCGTGGCAGCAGCGAGAGGCGGGAGAGCAGTGCTGACCGCTGACCACTTGCCCGGCCACTCCTCTGTCTCCCTCCCTCCCACCTCCTTCCCTCCCTCCCTCTCCCTCCCTCTCAGGGCTGGCACCACAGTCCCACCCCGCCTTCTCGGGTCCTCCCAGCCTCTCCACGTAAGCCCCCCCTCCCCACCTGCCTCTTCTCTCCCTCCCCTCCCCCACCCGCATCCTCCTCCTCCGGTACCCTCTCCCTCTCTGTCCTCTGACCAAGTCCTCTCCTCCCGTCTCGCTTCCAGCCCTCTGGCCAGCTTCCTCCCGCTCCCTTTCCCGGATCCTCCCTCTCCCCAGCCTCTCCCCATTTCCCCAGTCTCATCTAACTCCCATTCTCCCTTCCTCTGGTCTGACTCGCCTGCCCCATCCCGTCCCCGCCCTGTCCCCTTTGTGCCCCTTTTTCTTTTTCTCTCTCCTTCCCTGGTTTGGTGTCCCTTCTCCACCTCGAACTCCCTTCAGCTCGGCCTCCCTGCCCCCTCACGGCCTCTCGCTTCCCTGCCTGAGGCCTGAGCCACCATGCTGACCCCAATGGTGGCTGGGGGGGTGGTGTTCCCTGGTCTCTTCCTCCTCTCCAAGAACACGCTCCAGCGGCTGCCCCAGCTGCGCTGGGAGGAGGCCGACGCGGTCATTGTCTCAGCCAGGTAAACTGCCTCCCTTCGTCTCAGCCCCTCTCCCCTCCTCAAGCATTATGGGGGTGGAAGGGATCCCATCCTTCCCTGGACCCTTGGCTGATGGGGGATTGGGGGTTCCTGAAGTGATTGGTGGGCTTTATCTGCAAGCTTCCTTCCTCCCTCACTGCCTTACTCGCCGTCCCAGGAGACCTCGTCCAAACCCAGCCATCTGGTCTACTAGTATCCAGACTGCTTTTCCTTCCTTTCCCCCATTCACCCTCCCAGCCTCCAAAACAGGGCCAGCATGTGACTGAAACATTCCTCTAAGATATTAGGGAATAAGGCAAGGGGCAGAGAGCTGTGTATTTATTGTTCAGGGCATATGTTTGAGGGCACAAGGGACAGAGGAGTGAATGGTTCAACTCAGTACAACCCCAGAATAATGGCCAGAGTTGAGGAGGGGAGCACGGGGGCAGTCAAAGAGTGAGTGGGAAAGTGGCCAGGGGGAACTTGAGGTCACTGAGGGGCCAGGTGATGAGTGGCATGACTGGGTGGCTGAATGTTGCAAGAACAGGCCCAGGGCTCCCCCTTGCCATCCAGTGCTGTCCCTTTCCTGCCTCTCCCTGGGAAGAGACCTTGTTATCAGCACCGTCTCACCTCAAGATGACCTCCCTGGTCATGAGAAGAGGGCGACTCAGTGTCCACAACTGAGGGAAGGAAGATGGCAGTGAGGAGTTGGGTGGACTGAGGAGTAGCAGCTGGGCAAGTCCCCTAGCCTGAGGCTGGGGGAAGCCCTGGGCAAGCCAGCCTCAGGCAGAGATGGGCAGAGAGTGGCCCGAGAGGTGCCCGAGTCCGAAGCGCAGTAAGTGGACAGTAAAGAGGAGAAACTGAGATCTGCGTCTCCTTTGTCTACCACGGCTCCCTCTTTCGCCCTAGGCTAGTGTCCTCTGTCCAAGCCGTCATGGCCTCCACAGCTGGCTACATCGTCTCCACCTCCTGCAAGCACATCATTGATGACCAGTAAGTGCCATGAGACCGCCTTTGCCCAAGTTTCCAGCAGCCTGTGTATGTGTGTGACTCCCGAGTACCCCAGGTCTTCTACGGGACTCATTCAATGGTCCCCAAGCCCTTCACTTGGGACTGAGCAAGTTAACTGCATTAGCTGCAACTCAACACCCAGGGATAAATTTATCCTTTTCCTGTCCTTAAAGGTCAGAACTAGGAGGAGAAGGAGTGGCGATCAGAAAGGATTGTCAAAGCAGCCCCTAGGCTTCCCGGCCTCTCATACCCTCATACTAGTAGGTCCTGTGTGTCCTTCCCTCCCGACTTCTTCCCACCCTTACATCCCTCAGACCCCTTTTCTAACCAGCACCCACATGGGGTGCCTTCCTCCTCATGCTGGGCTCACCCCTCACCTCCTCCCAGAACCCAGGTGTCCAGTCCCAGCGCTGGGTACAAGAGAGAGACAGAGGAGAGAGATGACAGAGACAAGGCCACTAATGGTTAGGCAGTGGGGGAGGGGGAGGAGAAGGGTGAAGAGGCCAAAATTTGGCACTGGTAGCTGCTGCAGTGCCCGGTGCTTGCCAAAAAAGCCCAAGCCTGAGGAGGTGGGGCGGCCAGAGGAAGGAGAGGGGCCCTGTCCGTGGTGCTGACGGGACGGCTCCAGGCTACCCACGGGCTGCTGCAGAATTGCCTGGGAGGGTGCTGAAGACCCCCCACACCTGACTTCTGGCCCTGACCCCCTTCTCTGGTGACTGTGGGGCCACAGGAACGTTGTCTGGATGACCCTGACCTGGCGTGCCCCTCTTTCTCTACAGATGAGTTCCCTTATCTGTGGGGTGAGGTACATCCCTTCCTGGAAGCGCTGCCATGAGGAGGAACTGAGCTGTGTGTCAAATGCCTAGAGCAATTCTGGCTGCCGCACAGTGGGTGCTTAACTCTTCCTTCACATCTTGGTGACTTGGGTTCCTCTTGCCCTCTTCGCTTCTTCCCCACCCCTGGGTCTAAGATGAGCCTGGATCCCCAGGCTTATCCTGCTCTCGCCTTCTCACACAGAGGTCACCTTTTGGCTCTTACATTTCCTTCCCCCAACTCAGGTCTGTTCTCGTCCCTCCCCCTTTAATCCTCAGGTGGGTGTCCAAGATCAGGGTTAATGCGGGGACAACAGCTGTTCCTACTTCTGAGCACCTAACTGCTGAGAGGGTGGGGATGGGCTTAACTCTTCAAGGTGCAGCGCCGGTCCTGGCCCTCCCTCCCCACAAGCCACTCAGCTCCTGGGGCCAGCTCTCCCAGCCACTCCCACTGTAACTTCTCTTGGGACAGTTTGGGCTGCCTGTCCTCCTCCAGACCAGTCTGGCCCAGGGCTTGCATTCTGTTATCTGTTTTCATCTCGCCCCATCCTTCGCTGCGCTACCGCCCCCCCCCCCCCCCCCCCCCCCCACCAGGCCTCATTCCCCTTCTCCCTTCAGCAGCTCCTCATATTTTGTCTCCACTCTCGTTCTGCATCACTCTGGCTGACTTTGCTTTCATCCCTCCACCTTGCTGGGCGAGTTCCCAGGGCCCTACCTCCCTGATCTCCCACTCCCACCTCAGAAATGCCACAGGGCTACAGGATTGAAGAGACAGTGTCCAACATGCTGAGTCAAGAAGAAAAATGCAATGTTGCACATTCATGCACTTTTCATTTTTGTTTACTCCCAAAGTACACAGAACTTTCTCTGCTCTTGGCTCCTTTCGCTCAGCGTTTTTGCCTTAATGCTTGGCTGTACCTGAAAAAACAAGAGGTTGGACCACATTCAGGCGGAACAACCAGCACTGAAAGCACCACCAAATCCCTAGCAAAGGCCCGTCTGTGACACCTGTCTCGAATCTTCTAGAGACAGTGGGGCTCTAGGCGAAGGCTGTGGAACCAGACTTCTCTCATGGTTATTCTTTGGCCAAGTTACCTAATCTCTCAGTTTCCTCGTCTGTGAGATGGGGGTGATAACCATACCTACTTTGTATGAAGTTTTTTGTGGGGAGGGAATAAGTTTATGTATGTGAAAGGTTTTAGCTATTAGGACAGCGCCTGCTTGTAATAAGCAGTCAATGGATGTCGGCCACTATGATCCCTCTCCACTTCTCTTGCCTCTTCTGCTGTTATTTGTCCTAACCTCAGCTGTCTCTCATATCTTGCCGGAACTTGCTTTCTCACTTTCACACTGCCCTATGGTCTGTGGCTGTCTTTGGGTATCTTTTCCCTTTTCTTGCCTACCATATTGCAGAAAGAGAGAGAGAAGAATGAATGAATGAATGAATGAATATGAAAAATGGGTGGGCTCTGAGATCAGACAGTCTGGGTTTGAATTCCGGCACTACTACCTACCAGCGGTGTTACGGTGTGACCTTGGGCCAGTTTCTTGCCCTCTACCCTTGGGTTCCGTCATGTAACTCGAGAGTCCACTCTCGCCTCAGGGTTGTTGTGAATATCACTTGAGATCTGACTCATGTGGCACGTCCAGTGCTGACTGTGGCACCTGGTGGCTGCTCTGTCCCTCTCCTTTCCTCTTTGATCTCTCTCTCTCTCTCTCTCTGCCCAACAGACACTGGCTTTCCTCTGCCTACACGCAATTTGCAGTGCCCTACTTCATCTATGACATCTACGCCATGTTCCTCTGTCACTGGCACAAGCACCAGGTCAAGGGGCACGGAGGGGACGAAGGGGGGGCCAGAGCCCCAGGCAGCACCTGGGCCGTGGCACGCGGCTACCTGCACAAGGAGTTCCTCATGGTGCTCCACCACGCCGTCATGGTGCTCGTATGCTTCCCGCTGTCGGTGGTGAGTCGGGGTGTAGAAAGCCAGGGTCTCTTGTCCTGCTCATGCCAGCAGGAACCGGGGAAGCCCTGTGGCCGGGTCTCAATAGCAGGACAGGTTCGGGAGAGTCTCCACAGAGGGTTTCCTGAGCACCAGACCAGCCCGAAACAGCGTGAGGGTGTGGGGTCAGCCTGGCCTGGGCTGGACATGCCCAGCCATGGTGCTTGGGACCTGTGGCTGCATGTCTCTGAGCCTCAGTTTCCTCATCTGTGATATAAGGGTGAGCGATCTCACCTGCAGGATGACGGTTGGAGGGATACAGTGAGTGATGCTCGCAGCTTTGCTGCTATACGCACGTGTTCAGACTTTCAGGGTCAAGCATCTCCGCAAGTGGCCAAGAGGAGACAGGGAGGGAGTCCAGGGTGAGGCCAAGCTATTTCCTTCCTCTCCTCGCAGGTGTGGCGTCAGGGCAAGGGAGATTTCTTTCTAGGCTGCTTGCTGATGGCTGAGGTCAGCACCCCCTTCGTCTGCCTTGGCAAGATCCTCATCCAGGTGAGAGGGTACCTGAGGGTGTAGCGGGCCCCACGGGAGGGCAAACCTGGGAGGGGCTACAGGCTGGGGTCGGGGGAGGCAGGGCTCTGGGGGGCTGAGTGGGGGCAGTGGGCCGAGGGTGGAGCCCCTCGCCCCGCTCACTCTGCCCCCTGCCCGCCCGCAGTACAAGCAGCAGCACACTCTGCTGCACAAGGTGAACGGGGCCCTGATGCTGATCAGCTTTCTCTGCTGCCGGGTGCTGCTCTTCCCCTACCTGTACTGGGCCTACGGGCGGCACGCCGGCCTGCCGCTGCTCGCCGTGCCCCTCGCCATCCCGGCCCACGTCAACCTGGGCGCCGCGCTGCTGCTGGCCCCCCAGCTCTACTGGTTCTTCCTCATCTGCCGCGGGGCCTGCCGCCTCTTCAGGCCCCGGGGCTCCCCTCCGCCCTCCCCTTGTCAGACCCAGGACTGAGGGTGGGGCCGGGGGACCCTCCCCATCCCACCCCTTGGGGACGGGGCTCTGGGGCCGCTGGGCAGGGGGTGGGAGCCAGGGGCCTCTTGCCCTGACAGCCCGGGGACTGACAGATCGACTCTGAAGGGGCCGAGGGGCGGGACATCTGCCCTCAGGGGCAGAGGGTCAGGGACCAGGTGAAAAGGAAGGCAGGGAGGGGGAACCTCTTCTCCCAGCAGTGCCTGAGCTGAGGGTAGCAAGCCCCTTCCTGCGCGGCCCCCCTTCTCCCGTCACCAACCCTGGGGCTCTGCGGGGAGCAAAGGACCAGAGGAAGGGGGCATCACTTCCTATCCACTGAGGGCTAGAGGGCCGTGGGGAGACTGACTCAAGGGGACCAGGACTCGGAGAATGTGGGGGAGGCCCTGCTATCAAGGCCATCCCAGCCCCCCTGCTGCAGACTCCTCTCGGTTCCCCACCATCTGGGAGGGAGGGGACACCCTAACTATCCCCCCCACCCCCACCCCAGGCCTCGCTTGGGGCTAGCTGCCTCCACTTCTCCTCCCTAGGGAAGGCCAGCCTAAGGAATCTTATTTATTTTATTTATTCGCCCAAATTCATACTAGTTTGTAGGGATGGGGGGAGGGAGGTGGCTGCTACCCCCCAACCTTCCCAGTGCTGAGCAACCCCGGGGGCGGGCGAGGGGCACCCAGTCCCTTCCCCATTAGGCTGCACATCTTGCCCTCGGGCCCTGGCATGTCCCTGGTGCTACAGACCTCTCAAGGCTTCCTCCAGTCTGGGGTCAGGGGACCCTGGGAGGTGCTTTACAGACCGCTAATAAAGACGATCTGCGTGAACGCCACCAAGGCCCTCTTCACCCAGTTCTTTGGTGCTGGGAAGGGTGGGGGGGGGGTCTGGGGACAGAAAGCACAGATGACCACAGGATGGGGCAGGACCCCCTGGATGGCTACCGAGCAGTCAGGGAAGAAAAAAGCAGACTTTTATTCATCAGCGGGAAAGGAGGGCAGGTTTGGGCACTCAGGGCAGAGTGCAAGGCCCTTGTCCGGCTCCTTAGGCCCCTTTTTGGCAGCTCCTATGGGGTATGAGATCAGAAGTGGGAGGCCACGCCCTGCCTCCCTAGGCTTTGGGGTCCTTCAGCCTCTCCCAAGGAAAGCTGAGGTGGGGCGGGAGGCCGGAAGGGCCGGGGGGGGGGGGGCTTACATGTGTGTGCAGAACTGGAAAAGGAGGAAGAGGAAGGCCACTACCAGAGCACCCACTAGGATGTGATAGAAGAACTCAGAGTTGTATCCTGTTAGACAAGAAGGGGGAGATGGGGACCCTGGACTCACCTCCAATTGGAGGGCCAAGGGCAGCTCTTCTCCAGACCCCAGCAAGGAAGGAGGCCGTCTCAAGCTGGTTCATACCTGAGTTAACAAAGATGACGGGTTTCTCTCCAATAAACCGGGCCACGGCCAGGAGCCCGGCTTGGTCTGAGTCCAGGTAATCAAAGAAGTCAGGTCTGTCCAGGAAGAGCACAGACTCTGCTCCCCGGGTCAAGGTGTTGGCCCTCTGTGGGCTGGGTGCTAGGGAGCAAAGTCTACCTCAAGAATCCAGCAGACCCATGCCCTCTACCCCAAGAAGCTGAAGCCAACCCAGGACCCTGTCAGGCCACACGGCCTTAGTGTGGCTATGGAGGGGCTTGATTTTGTTCCAGGAATCTCTCAAGGATCAACTGAGCTCTCCATGAGAAGGCCCATGCTGGATGGAGAGAAATGTGGAGGGCAAGAGGAAGGCCCAGCCTTGGCCACCCAGCTCCTCGGGCAGACTGGCCCTTTAACCCCCAAGACTTTCTCCTTCCCGCGGCTCCCGGGACAGCTTCCCACCTGTTTCTATGGCCCCCAGCCCCAGCAGCCACACCCACACCCAAGCCCACAGCCACAGCCTCATGACTCCTCTCCTCCTGTGACAGGGGTGGGGGCTCTGTGATGTCACAGCCTGGAGCCATTCTGATCAGGAACTCCGGGTTGAGGGAAGAAAGTACTGGAAGCTGGACGAAGAAGAGGTGCATTTGTGTGTGGCAGGCAGTTCTTCCTGGAGGGAGGGCAGGGATAAACATCTCCAGTTACCCCTGGATCCACCGCTTAACACAGACGACTTATTTACCCATCACAGCAAGCCTGCCTGCATTATACAGAAAAGGGACAAAGAGGAGCAAAGAAAGCAATGTAGGCAATGCACACTTCCCAGGGGTGTGCATCTTTCCCTCGGACGCTTCCCTTTGCCTTGTGTCACCAAATTCAAGGGCCTAGGGATCTCTTAGGGGTCCATTGAGGAAGACCCTGGGGTTGGCAGCCAAGAGAAATAACAGGCTTGTATCACTAGGTGGCAGCAGCGTCCACGTTTGTCTGTTTCCCTCCCACCCGGGAAGGCCCGGCCCCAGCTCTTCCAAGCCCTCCTCCCGCCTCTTCCCGCAGGTGCTGCAGGAAAAGGTACTGCAGGCGCGAGGGTTGTCAGA